GTCGAAAAGTGTCTCTCAAAAGTATTCTTTTGATAACCCTAATATCCTTAGATAAAATACAATGCAATAAATAGTAATTATTCTAATTTTAGAGATATTGTTTGCTTATTCAGAAAATAACTATTGACCACACCCATTCAGGACTGTTATTTCAAAAAACATATAAAATAACAAATGTCAGCAAAGACATGAAGAAACTACAACTTCTGTGCACTGTTGGAGGGGACAGAAGATGGTGCAGCTGCTATGGAAAACAGTATGGAGGTTCCTCAAAACATTAACAGAACTATCCTATGATCCTGCAATTCCATTTCTAGATATGTACCCAAAAGGATTGCAATCAGAGACTTCATTATATATGTACACTTTCATAGCCCCATTATTCACAGGGTAGAACCAACCCAAGTGTCCATCAACAGATGAATGTGTAAACAAAATATGGTGTGTATCTCTTGATAGATAGATGATAGATAGATAGATAGATAGATAACATAGATATAGATAGCTAGAGATAGCTGTATAGGAAAATAAACACACACACACACACACACACACTGGAATAATATTCAGCCTTAAAAAGGAAGGAAATTCTGATGCATGCTAAGACATAAATAAACCTGGAAGACATAATGGTTTTTGTTTGTTTTGTTTTGTTTTGAGACGGAGAGAATCTTAAGCGGGCTCCACACTCAGCACAGAGCCCAACCCCACGACCCTGGGATCATGACCTGAGATGAAATCAAGAGTCAGACACTCAACCAACTGAGCCCCCCAGGTACCCCTTGAAGACACAATGCTAAATGAAATAAGCCAGTCGGAAAATAACAATTATATGGTTCCAGTTACATGAGGTACCAGGAGTAGTTAAATTCATAGAGAAAGGGAGTAGAATGGTAGTTGCCAAGGGCTGGGGGGGAGTTAATGTTTAATGGGAACAAAGTTTCAGTGGGGGAGAGTGAAAAAAGTTCTTGAAATGGATGGTGGTGACAGTTGCACAACAGTGTGAATCTCTTTGGTGCCACTGAACCATACACTTTAAAAAGGTTAAAACGGTGAATTTATGTTATATATATTTTACCACAAAGAAAAGGAACATACACATACACACAAAAGTAAATAAAAATAAGTACTGAGCCCCTACTAAGGGCACTGAGGGTCTAGTGGTGAACAAAACATATAAAACACAGTCCCTGCCTTTATAGAGCTTACTATCGAGTAGGGGAGACAAATAATAAATAAAAAAATCAATACACACACACACACACACACACACACTTACAGCCACATACATGTGTATCTTTATAAAATCATATAGTGTATTTTTAAAATACAGGTGAGCATTTTTTTCTGTAATGTTCTTTTCTCCACAGTCTTAGACATCTCTCAGTGTTAGTCCACGTGACTACTTGCCTCCTTTTTTAACTCCACACAGAACTGCACATGGAGACAGGGCTGTAATGATATAGCCATACCCCTGTGAAAGCGACATGTAGGTAGCTGGCCATCTTTTGCTGGTATAAACACTGCTCTGAGGAAGATCTTCCTAGAAGCTCATGTCATTCTACCTCTTAAAAGCAGGTCGTTTAGGGGCGCCTGGGTGGCTCAGTCGGTTAAGCGTCCGACTTCAGCCCAGGTCACGATCTCGCGGTCCGTGAGTTCGAGCCCTGCGTCTGGCTCTGTGCTGATGGCTCGGAGCCTGGAGCCTGCTTCCGATTCTGTGTGTCCCTCTCTCTCTGCCTCTCCCCCGTTCATGCTGTGTCTCTCTCTGTCTCAAAAATAAATAAACGTTAAAAAAAAAATTTAAAAATGTATTGCTAAAAAAAAAAAAAAGCAGGTCGTTTAGTAACAACTTTATTTGTATTTTTTTAATGGTTACCTTTTTCCTGTATTTATTTATTTATTTTTATTTATTTATTACCATGTATATAGATTTTATTAGGATTCCAGTTCAAACAAGCAAACTAGGAAAAAAAAGATTAAATACAGTCATTTTCAGACCATGAAAAGTGATAGGATTTGCACTACAAGCAACACTAAAGGGTGATCTTAAGACAGAAGGAAAGTGAGGTGCAGGGAGGAACAAGGAGCAATTAAAGTGTTAAATATGGGAAATAATCTGAATGAAATGACTAAGCAAAGTAACATTAACAAAGGTGACACATACAAAAACCAACTGCATTTCTAAATTCAAGTGGCAGTTTGCAAATAAATTTTATGAACAGAAACCATCCATAGCAGGTTCAAAATATCAGATTCCTAGGAATTAGTTTAACAAAATCTGTGAAAAACTTCCTAACAGAGTATAATAGAATATAGTGGTAAAATTTTTGAAGTCCTAAAGAGACAGAGATATATCTTGATTCTAAAGTAGAAGACTCATTATTGCAAAAGTGTTCAATTCTCTCCAGATTGCTTCTGCTTTCAAAACAATCCCCAATTTTTTTCTGTGGAATTTTGCAATATGATTTCAAAATAGAAATGCCAACATATAAGAATAGCAAAGACAATTTAAATAGACAAAACAAGGTGGGGAGACTTGCTGTACTAGATATCAAGATTTATTATAAAGTTACAGTAATTAAAACAATATTTTATTAGTATCAGATTAGACAGATCAAAAAAACATAGAACACTTCACGAATTTGCCTGTCAACCTTGTGCAGGGGCCATGCTAATCTTCTCTGTATCATTCCAATTTTAGTATATGTGCTGCCAAAGACAGCACTTATCTTTATTTTTGAGAGAAAGAGAGACAGAGCGTGAGCAGGGGGAGGAACACACAGAGAGGAAGACAGAATCCAAAGCAGGCTCTAGGCTCTGAGCTGTCAACACAGAGCCCGACTCGGGCCCGAACTCATGAACTGTGAGATCATGACTTGAGCCAAAGTCAGACACTCAACCAACTGAGCCACCCAGGGGACCCTTTAATGTTTATTTTTGAGAGGGGGGGGTAGAGAGAGTGGGAGATCCAGAATCTGAAACAGGTTCCAGGCTCTGAGCAGTCAGCACAGAGCCTGACTCAGGGCTCGAACTCATGAACCGTGATATTACGACCTAAGCCGAAGTTGGACACTTCACCGACTGAGTCACCCAGGGGTGACTTATTTTCATTCTTTAAATGAATCCCCAGGGGTGCCTAGGTGGCTCAATCGGTTGAGCATCTGACTTCGACTCAGGTCATGATCTCACAGATCGTGAGTTTGAGCCCTGCGTCAGGCTCTGTGCTGACAGCTCAGAGCCTGGAGCCTGCTTCGGATTCTCTCTCTCTCTCTCTCTCTCTCTCTCTCAAAAATAAATAAACATTAAAAAAAAAATTTTTTTTAAATAAATGAATCCCCAGACCTATCCAAGTAATCATCAAGGTGATCCCCCTTGACAGATGCAGAAAAGGAGGCTCGGTTTAGATAAGCAAGTTCTTATAAATTTTTTTATACTTGTTGTCTCTCCTAAACGAAAACACTGTTCTTCAAACCAGGGTTTATTATTGCTCCGATTTTCCAGGGTCTCATTTCATCTCATTCCTGCTGTGTAAGAACTTAGCAATTGGCTTTTCAGCTGTACTTTCACCCGTAGTTCAGCAAGAATTTCCATCCACACACTCCTAGATTAGATCTCAAAACGTAGCCTTGAAGTTCGCTGTTTGGAGCTGAGAACCCACCGGCAATTTTCAGTTTGAGGGTGAGAGATTTCCCTCTTGAACTTGCCTCCCCTGTAACTGGCAGTGACATGACAAATGTGGGACGTGTTGTCAGATTTTCCCACTAGAATTTTTTTTAATTTTTAATTTTTTAAGTTTATTTATTTTTTGAGAGAGAGTGTGTGTGCAAGCAGGGGAGGGGCAGAGAAAGAGAATCCCAAGCAGACCCTGCACTGTCACCACGGAGCCCGATGCAGGGCTCAAACCCATGAACTGTGAGATCATGACCTGAGCCAATATCATGAGTCCCACACTTAACTGACTGAGCCATGCAGGCACCCCTAGAATTTTTAAATACATTGTCTTCCCAGTTCAAACAACTATGTTGTTCTGATCCTAAGTAGACGAAATATAATTTAATCTCAAATCAAATTAATTTCTATTAAATAGAGATATAAACTGACTTAAGTAATCTTTGATATCTGCAGAAGGAAATTAATTTGATAACTGGAAATGAGAATTATCTTCTATCCTAAGGCGAGAAATCTAAGATAATCGCCTTGCACATTGACTAACGCTATTCCATGAATGGCTAATGCACAAAGCTATTACACACCTCGAATGTAAATTTATGAATTTATAAATCTCACACACGCACAATTTTCTCCCCTAAAACACAACTTTAATGTATGCCTTGTGTTGCTTTGGGTTCTCCCAGAAGCAGACACTGAGCCAATGTGTCAAGTGCAAGCGATTTATGTGGCAGGTGATCCCAGGAGACATCAGCGTGGGAGAAGGGAAATCAGATAGCGAAGCGAAGGCAGCAATAAAGGTTTGTTTTCAAACAGGGTCCCAGTGTGAGCGACTAAGACTTAATCCTGCGGGAGAACTCTGGGATCTCAGAGCCACCCCACAGAGGGGGCAAGAGTGCTGGGTATTTATTTACACACTTCTTCCTGCCAGTCAATGATGGAGGGATTTTCTCAGGGTGGCGGGTCAGGGGGTGGGTGAGTTTCATCCACTCCTTACACTTCTGAGCTGTCATGTTGGGGCCAAGGAGGACGTAGGGGCCAAAGAAAGACCTCAGGCAAGGAAGTGGCAGGGGGCTGGCAGCTGGAAGTCAGGCCAATGTGCACCAAAGGGGTAAGGATGAGGGTAGATGTGTGCAAAGCAGCATTGCCACACCTTTCTTCCTGAAACTTCTAAGTAAACTTAATGGCCTCCTTTCTTCTTTTTCCCCCAGAATTTATTCCGCCGTCCATGTCATTACACAGATCACAGAGACTCACAGGTCTTTCATTCTCTACGGGGACTCTGCAAGCACCCCCCTCGCACAGACAGGGAGGAACAGGGACTTGCTCACCTCTTCATCTCTAGCAGGAAAGAGCGTGGTGAGAGCTACAGGACACGTGGCTTCCAGATGCCTGGTGCTTTCTAAAGCCGTCTTTAAAAATCTAGAACACAGGAAGTTTTCTCAGGTTGCTGGTTGTCATTTTTCTTTCCAAATGTTAAAAGAAGAAATTTGGGACAATTTGGGGAATTAAAAATACAAAGTTCTTGGGGTGCCTGGCTGGCTCAGTCAGATGAGCGTCCGACTTCGGCCTAGGTCATGATCTCACGGCTCGTGGGTTCAAGCCCCACGTCGGGCTCTGTGCTGACAGCTCGGAGCCTGGAGCCTGCTTCAGATTCTGGGTCTCCCTCTCTCTCTGCCCCTCCCCCGCTCACGCTCTGTCTCTCTGTCTTTCAAAACTAATACATAAATATTTAAAAAAATTTTTAAAAATACAAAGTTCTAAATGTATATATGCCAGGGGCGCCTGGGTGGCTCAGTCGGTTATGTGTCCAACTCTTGATCTCGGCTCAGGTCATGATCTCACGTCATGGGATGGAGCCCTGAGTCGGGCTCTGTTCTATCAGTGTACAGCCTCCTTCAGACTCTTTCTCTCTGCCCCTCCCCTGCTCACGCATGCTCTCGAAATAAATAAGTAAACACATAAAAAAATAAATGTATATGTCAAATGGTTTTAAGTACTAAAGAGAAAAATACATCAGAGAAAGGGTGTATATATATATATTATTTTTCTTTTTGCCCTTTAGCAATTCAAACTCTAGGATCTTGTGCCCAGTCATACAAGTAATAGAATATTCACTGCAGCATTATCTGTAGTAGCAAAAGACTAGAAACAATCTAGATATCCATCTACTTAAGAACATTTGTATAGCATTTAACATGTTAGGCACTGTTCTGTGTCTTACAAATATTCACTCACTCAACCCTCAACAACAAACCTGTTCAGTGGCACTGTCATTATTCATTATTACCTTTTTCAGATGAGAGAACTGAGGTGCAGAAATTAAGTCATTTGTCCAAGTTTACACAGTGAGAAGGGGGTAGAGTCAGGATTGGAGCCCACACTGTCTGGCTCCAGAGTCTAATCGTTTAGATTAAAGATCAGGGCTGGTTTCCTCTCTAAGACAAGACTAAATTATGGTTCCAACCCTTCAATGGAATTCTATAGAGCTGCCAAAAATAATGAGGGCAGTTCTGTACATGTTGATACAGAAAGATCTCTAAGATATTAACTAACAGCATCAAGGTATTGAACAGTGTGAAGAGTAAGCTACCATTCGCATTCCAAAACAAGAGAAGAACAAATATATGTCCTTTGTTATGCGAAGAGAATTTCTGGAAGGCTGAATGCAAAACCAGTAGGGGTACCTTTGGGGGAGGAAATGGAAGACACAAAAATTTTTCACGGACTTTTCTGGCATTAATTATTTATCAGATACATGTAAACCTGTTTTATGATATGTATGTTAAATATAACGTTAAAAAATTAAAGGAGGGGCACCTGGGTAGCTCAGTCAGTTAAGCATCCGACTCTTAGTTAGGTCATGATCTCACTGTTCCTGGGATCAAGCCCTGCACGGGGCTCCATGTTGTCAGCACAGAGCCTGCTTGGGATTCTCTCTTTCTCCCTCTCTCTCTCTGCCCCTCTCCCACTAGTGCTCTCTTTCTCTCTCAAAATAAATATATAAACTTTAAAAGCATAATAAATAAATAAAACTTATTTAAAAAAATTTAAAGGAATTATAACTTCTTTCAATAGAGCAATGGGAAAAGGTCACGTTTTGAATTTTCCAGAACTTATTCTACCTTATAATTCAACGTGAAAGACCAAAAGTGAAAACTTCCATATCGTTCATATGGCTTTAAATTTTGGAGGAAGGGGATGGTTTATCAGGATATTTTATCGAACTGTGAGATGCATTAAATTTATGTGCAAATTTTAGTGAAAATAATTGCATAATATAGTTGATTTTGTTATTAGAGTGTGTAATGTTTTAAACACTGAGACAATTTTAAACATTTTCTGACTTTGTACACTGATGTTTGTAATAAAAAAGGAAAGGGGCACCTGGGTGGCTCAGTCGGTTGAGTGTGTCTGACTTTGGCTCAGGTCATGATCTCATAGTTTGTGAGTTCGAGCCCCGCATCCGGCTCTGTGCTGACAGCTCAGAGCCTGGAGCCTGCTTCAGATTCTGTGTCTTCTCCTCTTTCTCTGTCCCTTCCCTGCTCATGCTCTGTCTCTGTCTCTCAAAAATGAATACACATTAAAAAAAATTTTTTTTAAAGAAATAAAAAAGGAAAAAAGTCAGGCAATGATTTCAAACAGTTTTGTAAAATCATTTCAGCTCCGTGTCCTGTAACTGTTCTACTGTCTGTAATTTAAAATCTGGTGGCCCTAAAAACGATCCACTATTCCAATTAGTTCAATAGCATTCATTAAAAAAATTCTTAATTTCTTTTGATTTTACTTGAATAACTTTGTCTTTTATGTTAAATAAACTCCAGAAATTGGTCCCTATAAATGAGAGTAGCAAAGTGTTTTTCCTGATTTCATACTAAATGGAAGTAATTAAAGAAGCTCCTTTATTCAAAAGAATTTGTTCTTTTCATGGACAGGCATATATCGCTGAAAATGTTAAAATTTTAGGGCAGCTGTGTTCTCAAAATTAGGATCCCTATATAAGATTAGGGAGGATAAAAATACATTTAAGCAAATACTGGAAACCACTTGCTTATAATTTCTCACTCTGCATAGAAAAAGCATAACTCAATTTAATTCTGTTCATTAAATTAAGAAAATGCTCAATTAAGTGAGCCAAAATAGTTTCAATTAAAGATACAAATTTCTCTAATAGGGCAAAATTTGAGAATCTTCTACTATATAAAGACATAACATTTTTTTGGTTAGATAGTAGAACTAAGGTGAACTTTTTTTTTTTTCTTAACTAAGGGAACTTTTAACTAGAAAAAGCATATAACCCAAGACCTGGAAACTCTCAATGCTTCTTACCAACAGAAGTAGTAAATGGGTTATGAGGATGGGGGGAAGAAAACCAACATCCTTAAAAAGGAAATTAAAATTTTCTAGGCAAATTCTTTCTCAACTCAAACTACAGGTATGTTCTACCACACTTGGGCCTTAGTTTCCCATCTCAAGAAATAGACCATTATATGATTAGTTCCAGAAGCTAGAAACCAGGTGTCCCCTTGGGATTTTTTTTTTAAGTGTATTTATTTTTGAGAGAGAAACACGTGCTCATGTGGCGAGGGTAGGGGAAGTAGAGGCAGAGAGAAGGGGAGGGGCAGAGAGAGAGGGAAAGAGAGAGAATCCCAAGCAGGCTCCACACTCTCAGCGCAGAGCCCAATGTGGGGCTTGAACCTATGAACAGCGAGGTCATGTCCTGAGGTGAAATCAAGAGTTGGACCCTTAACCGACTGAGCCACCCAGCCACAGGATTTTCTTTTGCTCTATCGTCCACATCCAATGCATCACCAATTCATTCATTCTTTCATTCACTGAGAGTAAATGAGCAATGGTGACCCCAACCCTCAGCTGCCGCCTGGTCTCTTTTTGCCCTTGACAAATCCCCCTGAAGACTCCCCGCTGCACCAGCTTCACTTCCCCATCTTCCTCAAATCTGACTTCAGACCTGGAATCACTTTGTAGAGACAGCTGTTGCTAATATCACCAGTGACATCCATGTCCCTCAACAGTGGGACCTTCTTCATCTCTCCTCTCAGTGGACCTTAATCCATATTCCACATGATTGGTTCTGTCCACATTCTGAAAGCAATCTTGTGGCTTCCCTGCCTTTTCACTCTTCTGGATTTTCTCCTACCTCTTAAGTTATTCCTTCTGTGTTTCTCTTCAGGTTCATCCTCCAACCAGGACATCTTCAAGTCTTGGTCTCAGTCCTCCTTTTCTCTTTTTACCTCTTTCTAGACTAGCCATTCTCAAAGTGTGTTCCACAGATCCTTTTAAGGGTCCCACAAGGTCATAACTATTTTTGCAAAAATATAAAAATGTAACTGCCCTTTAAAAAAAATTTTTTTAATGTTTATTCTGAGAGACAGAGAAAGTGTGAGTGGGGGAGGGGCAGAGAAAGAGGGAGACACAGAACCCAAAGCAGGCTCCAGGCTCTGAGCCATTAGCACAGAGCCCGACATAGGGCTCAAGCCCATGAACCATGAGATCATGACCTGAGCTAAAGTCAGACACTCAACCAACCGAACCACCCAGGCACCCCAATTTTTAAAGATTTTTAAGTAATCTCTATACTCAATGTGGGGCTCAAACTTACAACCCTGAGGTCTAGAGTCGCATGCTCCACTGACTGAACCAGCCAAGGGCCCCATGACTTGCCTTTTTTGCTGTGTTGACATATTGATCTGTAGACACAAAAGCAAGGGCTCATAAAACTGCTTATGACTACTATGAATCAAGGCATTGGCACCAACTCCACTAATAGTAATTGTATTCTTCCCTATCATGCACTTACAGAAAAAAGAGGCAGCTGTACTTAAGAATGTGCTTGATGCTGTATGTTAAGCATACTGAAATTTTATTTATTTTTAATGTTTATTTATTTATTTTGAGAGAAAGTGAGAGTGTGCATGCCAGAGCAGGGGAGGGGCAGAGAGAGAGGGAGAGAGAATCCCAAGCAGGCTCCACAATGTCAGCACACAGCCCAATGAACAGCTTGATCCCAATGAACCATAAGATTGACTCAAGCCAAAATCATGAGTTGGACGCTCAGCTGACTGAGCCACCCAGGCACTCCAGTAGACTGTAATTTTTAAAAATGTGCTTAATGAATTAGTAAAAAGTATTAATTTTATTAAGCCTTGACTCTTGAATACATCTCTTTCCATATAGATTTCAGTTTTTCTAGCACTTTTACTAAAAGGACCATTATTTCTCTATTGAATTAATCTGGCACCTTAGTGGAAAAGCATTTGGCCATATAATTATCGGTCTGTTTCTGGACTTTCAATTTTATTCCAATGATCTTTATGTCTTTCCTTATGACAATATTGTACTGTCTCAATCACTATAGCTTTACAATAAGTTTTAAAATCAGGTAGTAGAAGTTCTCCAAATTT